TGGGAGTGCCAGCATCCTGAGGTTCTGGAGGCCCGTTTGGAGGCTGTGAAGCAGGAGATCATTGACGCTGCGTTTGCTGCTAAGGCTTCTGGGGACCTCGAAGACCACTTCGTCTTTATATCTGGAGCCTGTCGGCATCCCGCCGACGGTTGCCCCAGGCCGGCTGTGGAGTCTGATGATGGTCTGTTCCTCGCGTGGCATGTCCCTCCTGACTCTGCCCCAGATGGTGGGCCCATTACCAACCGTGTCTGGTGCTCTCTGTTTGTGGACGGTCCTGTGCTCGTCATGCCGTTCGTGAGCTCACGCGTGCTGCCGGCTCGGTCTGTATGGTTGACTCCGATGGGACTCTTGTGGCTGAATGTAGAGCCCCTGTCTGGAGCCCTTACCCTCAGACCCCTCAGAGCGCCGAATTCAGTGCGTTCACGTGGGCCAACGTTCTGGCTACGAATCCTTCTGATTGTCATGTTTATTCCGATTGCCTTAATGTTGTTCGGCTTGCAGGTCGGCCGAAGCCTGAGCAATTGCCGGGCAAAAAGATGTATGCTGGGGCCTTTTTGCAGTGCCATGGTCAGTGTTCCTCGGTCTCGGGCTGCTCGAAAGTCGCTGCCCACCAGGACATTGAAGACCCAGCCATTGATGCTGCTGAGAGGTGGCGTCGCATAGGCAATAGTTTCGCGAATGTAGGGGCTAAACTGGCCCTTCTTATTCACCCTGCTGATGATGGCTTGCTTCAGGATGCTGATCGTCAGGTCAAGTTTGCGAAGGCCACGCTCAAAGTTGCCAGTGCGGTGCTTTATTTGTGGCCCTCGGTAGATTTGTCTTCTGTCGAACGGATCCAGCCACATTCCCCTATAGCCAGTGCCGCTGCGGGCCATCGTTGGGCTCGCTGGGCTGGTATTTGGAGGTGCGCTTTTTGTCTCAAAGGATGTCGGGCCCTGCCCCCCCCCCCCACACACACACACACACACACACACACATACACACACACACACACACCAAAGGTCGTTGCCCTCGGGGCAGCGAGCTTCACGCCGCCCATCAGGACCGCCTTGGCCACAATATTTTAGCGTTTGATTGCTCTGACCAGTCGGTCCTTTTTATTTGCATGCGGTGCAAGTGCTACTCGTCTGGAGGTAAAGTCAGAGGTTTGGCGGAGCGTTGCGCTCCCCCCACTCGAGCTGGCAAGCTGTGTTGGGTCCAGCTTTGTAAAGGCAAGCGTCCTCACTACGCGCGTCGGAAGCACGGTGTTTCTGTGGACGTCGACTCTTTTGTTGACTGTTCCAACAGGCCAGGCTTCGATGAACAGGTAGATTTTCAGCCCCAGGTGCAGCTTGCTTCTCGGGCTGTGGACCCCCCTCGCCCACTGGTTTCTTGTGGGCCCCCAGGGGTTTATGAGGGGGAACGTCCCTGTTCTCAAGAGCGAGGTGCAGTGGCGTCTGCTGGCCTCCTGGCCAGACACCCTCCCTCTTCTTCCTCCTCTGGGGTGGGGCGGGGGGTGGTGCCTGGGCGGGGCGGCGCGGAGGAGTGGGATAATTTCTTTGTTGCTGAGGAGGAAGCGTCTAGCTCCCTTTTTGGACGTGCAGCTGGCGTCTCTGGCGCTGCTCTTTCTGCGCCTGAGGATGAGACCCGTCAGCAGGAGATGGAGCGGGGGCCCCATCAAAAGCTGCGACGGGACAATCCTTCTTTCCTGGCGAGGCAACGCCAGGATGAGTCGGACAGTTCTGATTAAGCTATTTTCTATGGCGTAAGGGGCGCCTTCTTTCTTTGTTCATTTCCAGCACGGCCCGATGCGTCTGACCCTTTCGGCAGGCATCCGTGCTATGCCCCACGTCTGGGGCGAGGTTGGCAGTCGTCCTGGCGCTGGTTGCGCCGGGGACTGCGGGCCTCGTCGCCCTTGTGTGGGTGGTCGGTCTTCTTCTGGCGCAAGGGACGCCTTCATTCTTATTCGTTCTTTTCCAGCACGGCCCGATGCGTCTGACCTTTTCGGCAGGCGTCCGTGCTATACCCCGCATCTGGGGCGAGGTCGGCAGTCGTCCTGGCCCTGGCTGCACCAGGGACTGCGGGCCTCGTCGTCCTCGTGTGGGTGGTCGATTGTCGATTATTTTCTTTGGGGTTTTCTTCTATAGCGCGCTGTTTCGCGTGCGTGCGCGTCCGTCTCGCACGCGTGTCAGGCACCCCGCCTCAGGGGGAAGGCATGAGCATATCTAGGGTGCACTTCTTCATTCTCCGAGCACAGGGGTGGCCCCATCCCGACAGTGGCTCGTGTAAGGTGTTGCCGTGGCCAGGTAGCATGGCGCTCCTGGCCCCAACATCTCTGCCCTTCTCCTGCTTCGTGCGGCCGTCTCGTGTGTGTGTGTGTGTGTGCGTCCCGCTCGGCACGCGTGTCAGGCACCCCGCCTCAGTGGGAAGGCGCGGCACTCGTGGAGGACTTCGAGTGTTTCGGCGAGCACGGGGGCAGGCTGTTTGCCTTGACTGTTGCTCGTTTGTTTTTAGGGTGGTGTTGCTGTGGACTGGAGACTCAGGCTCCTGGCCCCAACACCTTGCAGCGTCAGCGCACTGGCTGTTGTGACCGTCTTTCCTCTTGCACAGCCGAGGGCAGTCGGTCCGAGCTGCTTTTCCATCTGCAGGTCTCCTGCATTTGGCTTTGTGCTCGGCGCTTGCAGCTCGGCGTCCGCTCTGTTGCCCTGTGTGCCTGCCCCTCTCTTAGAGATGCTTGTGGCAGGTGCGTTTTTTGTGCTGGAGCGGCGGAGGATGAGGCCCCTTGGTCTCCCGAGCTGGTTTCACTCGCGCTGATGACTCAGACTGTTCGGTCTGTGTCGGGGAGCCAGCATCCCCCTCCGCTGCTGGCTCTGGACCTCGGTTTTCACCCGAGGATGTGGAGGTGTTGACGTGGATGTCAACAAAAAGATCAAGGGGGCGTGGATTAGCGACGGGTCCCGTTTCCATGGGGCATCGCGGATTTCCGCCGCCGAGCGAGGCGGCAGCGGCCGCATCCATGGATCCATGGATCGCTAATCCATGTTTGCGCGCCCCCGATCCCGGCCCGGGTCTCTGTCCTTCCATCGGCGCGGCCGTGTGGCTGCCGCGCGTTCCTCGCCATGTGACGGGCGGCGCGCGGGCGGGAAAGGCGGCGGCCCTCGGCGGCCTGAGCCGCGGGATGGCCGATGACGGATCGGGAGCCAGGAGAGGAGGGCCAACTGGGATAGCTGGGAGACACTTGCAGAAGGAAGGTTAGGGGCAACGTCAGGGGGGGGGACCCCCCAGCCTGGTCGCATGGGCGGGCGGAGCTCTCCTCCTCCTCCTCCTCCTCCTCCTCCTCCTCCTCCTCCTCCTCCTCCTCCTCCTCATCCTCATCCTCATCCTCATCCTCTTCCTCCTCCTCCTCCCTCGTCCTCACCCATCGCCGATCGGGCACTGGGCATCCAAACCCCGCCCAGAAACGTACGGGAGGAAGGGCTGGCAGAAGGAAGGATGGGGCAGGAGCGGGCAGGGGGTCTGGGCCACTGGGGGTTTACTGCCCCCTCCTAGAGGATCGAGTAGGAGGAGGATGAGGCGGAGGAGGAGGAGGAAGAGGAGGAGGAGGCGGAGGAGGAGGAGGAGAAGGTGGAGGAGGAGGAGGAGGAGGAGGAGAAGGAAGGAGGGGGATAGGGTATCGAGGAGGTTTTGGACGCTGTTCTAGGCGTCCCTGGCAGTCCTGGGGGGAAGTTTTGAGGAGTGCAGTGGGGACCGTTTCCCGGAGAAGTTGGCGACCCCTCTGGTGGTGACCCTCCTTGGTATTGCCTGAAAAGGAGCAGGGATGAATCCATAGCTCCAACGGCCTGAGCAGATCAGGGCGAAGTTTTCTTCACTGTCTCCGGCCTCTGGCCGTTTTCGGGCCCGAAGGGCCATCAAGAAGAGCGGCTCGGGATCAACAGCTGGTCCGCAGCATGGGTCGAGAGCTTCGGGACCCACGTACGACTACATGAGCACGACGTCGGAGGCTTGAGAGCGGGGCCAGGGACGAGGAGGATGAGGAAGATGAGGAGGAGGAGAAGGGGCAGAAGGAGGAGGAGGGGCAGGAGGATGAGGACCAGTGTAAACCCAAGAGTCATCAACGATGGTGGAATGACCCTTCCCTCAAAGCTCCCTCTTCATACGTAGGCCCCTACAACAGTTCATGTCCATTTAGGGAACTGCATCGTTGGAAGACAACCGTTTGAAGACCTGGAAGCATGCCAAATCATTGTTCTCGGGATGTCCACGCCACGGATCAACCTGACTGCGGCGTCCTGACGATTCGGAATCGTGCCTGAACGTTTTTTTGGGGATTTCAACACCGCGAATCAACATAACTGCTGCACCCGCATGACCTTGAATCCGTCCAAAACACAATTTCTGGTACGTTGACCATGGGAATCCGTGAAACTCTTGTTAATCAAAAAAACGAGTAAGCGCAGCGCTGAGGCGAGAGCCACATTTTGAAAAGGAACCGCCCTCAATGCGTCGAATTCTTGACTGTTTTACAACGAATGTGCGCGGCGCTAAGGCGAGAGCCACATTTTGAAAACGACCCGCCCTGAACCCGTGAAACTATTGCAAATCTTTCAAAGGGATGTGCGCGGTGCTGAGGCGAGAGGAGGATGATGAGGAGGAGAAGGAGGAGGAGGAGGAGGAGGAGGAGGAGGAGGAGGAGGAGGACCAGGAGGAGGAGGAGTAGGAGGAGCATGGTGAGGAGGAGTATGAGGAGGGGGAGGAGGAGGAGGAGGAGGAGGAGGAGGAGGAGGAGGAGGATGAGGACGAGCAGGCGGAGGAGGAACCAGCAGTGACAGAGCCGTGCGCCCCGGGTCCTGGTCCCGGAGCCGAGGCTTCCCCCTCTCTCCCGTGCCCTTGCCCATCCTTCCTTCCTTCCTCCTCGCCCTGGGAGAGGGCACGGCCGAGCCAGGCCGGGCCTTTGGTCTCAGATGGTGGCCTCGCCTCCTCGGCCACCGCCTGGGCGGAGCGTGTGGCCGCTCTCACCCGCCAGGAGCTCCGCGGCTTCGCGGCCGAGACCCACGGCAAGATCTCGGCGCTGCGCGCCGAGCTGGACGCGTCCCTGGAGGCGGGCTCCGCGCTGCGGCGGGGGGCCCTCGACGCGCTCAACGCCGCGGTGGCGGAGGCGGAGCGGCGCGTCCCAGTGGACAAGTCCGACGCGATCCCCGCGCAGCTGCTCGGGCCAGACGCGGAGCCGGGCGGGAAGCTCTTCCCGAACCTGGCGAAGAAGGTGTGATGGGCTTGTTTTCCGCCGCCACCACCACCAGAACTTGGAGGGGGAGGGGGTCCTCCTCCTCCTCCTCCTCCTCCTCCTCCTCCTCCTCCTCCTCCTCCTCCTCCTCCTCCTCCTCCTCCTCCTCCCTCTCCTACATATGGTGGTTGTTTGGTGGAAAAAGTGGCCCCTCAAGGTGAGGGCCATGTGCGCCCGGAGCGCCGAGGAGGTGGAGGGCCGCTACGTCGAGGCCTGGCGGGCGCTGCTGCAGAAGGAGAGGGCCGTGCTCTCCGTGCCCCGCTGCGCGCGGGGGGCCGTGGCTGGGCCCAGGGCGCCCGAAGCAAGCCAGCGAGCAAAGCGAACAGCACGGATGACCGAAGCAATGTCTGCAGCTGCCCAGTAAATTCAAGTCGGGCATGTCCGTCTCCAGGAGGAATAGTCAAAAGTAGTCAACCAATAGTTTGGGGACGATTTTCGATTCTTTTTGTTTACCCATTTTTGAACATGTTTTGACAATGTTCTAGTTTTCCCCCAAACTCTGCCTGTAGTGGGGCATGCCAGACCTAACACTAAATTGCTGTCTTCTGGCCCGGTCGGGCCCCCCCCCCCCCGGAATCGGCAGGGAGGGCACCGCAGGACGGCATCCACGAGGGCCTGGACTCGCTGCGCAGCGAGCAGCGCGCCGCGTGGGAGCAGGCCTTCAAGGACTGCTGCCGGAGGCACGCCCTCGCGCTGGCACAGTCTGACCACCAGGCCGTCTTCCAGACGGTTCCCGCGCGCGGAGACTGGATCGTCGGGTGTTGCTGGAAGGGCCCCTGGCGCGAGGTGCTCCCAGAATTTCCCGGGAGGCCCTCGCGGGCTCCCTCTCGAGGCCCAGCGGGCACCCGGGGGCTCCAGCTTCCAGCGACACGCTGTGGGCACCTTGGGCCGGGGGCACCTCCAGCAACCCCCAAGAGAACAGGACACCTGCACGCCATCGCGAGACCCGTCCTGCCTGGCCCGGACCTGGGGGACCCGCGCACCTGCCTGCTGGCACAGCCCGCAGGCGTCGTGCGCCGGCCCCGGGCCCCGACCGGGTGCGGCCCGGTCGCGCGCAGGCACCAGAAGTTGGCGCTGTCCCATGTAGGAGCGGGCGCGGAGCCGCTGGCGGTCATGTGCTGGAACGTGCTGGAGTTCCCCGACGCGGCCGCCGCTGCCCCCGTCCTCGACGGCATCAACCCGTACTGCGACCAGCTGCTGGCGGCTCTCGGGCGCAAGGGCACCGAGCAGAAGAAGCTGCTCACCGATGCGATGTCTTCGGAGCTGGTGGCGTCGCTGCACCGCGACGTGGTGCTCGGGGCGGTGCAGGAGGCCGCGGACAGCGGCGCTGCAGACGTGATCCTGCTGCAGGAGCTGAGCAGCGGCCACCAGTCGGCCTTGGAGGCCTGGTGCGCGGCGGCAGGCTGGAGCTCGCGCTTCGCGGAGGGCAACGAGGACCCAAAGAAGTGCGACGCGATCACCGCGATACTGACCAGGCGCCCCACGGACGAGGACTGCCAGGCGACGGTGCAGGAGAACAAGAAGACCCGGCACTTCGCGGCTGCCAGGGTCGGTGAAGCTTGGCTCGTGTCGTGCCACGTCCCGCACGAGGTGGCGGTGAAGGGGAAGACCAGCGGCAACGAGGATGTGGCCTTCCGGGTGTTGGTGCAGCTCGCGGAGCGCTTCCGCGGGCCCGCTGGCGGGCCCGGCCTGCTGGTGGTGGGCGGCGACTGGAACGCCGATGTCCACGCGGTGGGCGCCAGGGCGGCGGCGGAGCCCCCGTGCGGAGCCGCGCGGGTGTCGCCGCACGCGCCGCCGGCCGGGCAGGCGACCTGCAGGGGGTGCGGCGACGTGATCGACGGCCTGCTGCGGCTGGAGTGGTGACGTCGCGCCCTGCGGAGGAGCGGAGCCTGAGCCCCAGCGCACCGGAGAAGATCAGGACGGAGGTGCTTCCTATAGCTTTCGGCCGCCGTGGGCCGGGGCCGTCAGACAACGGCTCAGGACGAACAGCCGGCCCTGGGGAAGGGATGCAGGATTCTGGGGGCCCAGCATTGCACAAGTAAAGACATCGGACCTTTGGGGAGGAAGGGTGGGGGGGCGGCTGGGCGGCGGCAGCCGCGGTCGACCCTGGCTGCCGCGGCCAGAGTGGTGGCGTTGCGCCGTGTGGACCAGGAGGCCGTGGAACGTCCCGAACATGCAAGAAAAGATGGGGATCCTGGCATTTGTGTCTATTTATTTTTGTGTGTGTAGGTGTGTGTGTGTGTAGGTGTGTGTGTGTGTGTTCCTGGGCCCCTTGGAGCGATCTTGGTGGGGAGGGCCCACGCGGCGAGGGAGCTCGGACCACGCCGGAATGCCTCGGGCCGCCACGGCCGCCTCCCCTCGCCGTGGCGGACGTGCTGCGGGCGGGCGCGCCCGCGGCAGGGGGGCCGGGGGCGGGGGAGAGGACGGGCCCAGGCCTCCGACGATCGTGCTTGTCTTCGAGTCCCGCTGTCCTGCCTGTCTGGCCCCCCCCCCTCTCCCGCGGTCGAGCGGTGGCGGAGCGTCCTGGCTCGCCCAGGAGGCCTGCCACAGGACGTGCAGCAAAGCCTTTTTGTGGTCTGCGCGGGGTGTTCTCAGAACATTCTGGCCGAGACTGCCTTGTTTTAACACATCGGGATTCTCTTCTGATAACATTGCTTTTCTTCTTGGAACTTTTTTTGGTTCCAAGAGCATTTCGTGGTAGGCCTAGAGGAATGCCAGGACGGTCGGTCCCTGCTCAGTGCGTGCCGGCCAGTTCTCGCTTCGGTCGCCCTGGTCGCTCAGATCGCCGGTTCGGCTTCTCTGCCCCGCCGCCGGCGAAGAAGTGGTTTGTTTTTTTTTGAGTCCCGACGTTTCTCCTGCGTCGGCCTCCAGGGGCTGCTTTGGGGGCGGCTGAGAGGGGGGTGATGATGAGGTGTGTGTGTGTGTGTGTGTGTGCGTGTGTGTATGTGGATATCTTGGCTGGGGCCACCATTTCTTCCCAGATGCCACGGCGCCCTGTCTAATTTCCACAGGGCCCCTGGCTCCCCCCCTGGGCCCGCGCACGTGCCTCGGACCAGGATTTGCGACCCCGCCTCTCGGACGACCCCGTCCCTCGATCTTGGACGCCCCCGACTGCTGTCGGCCCCCCGGGCCACAAGGGCCCGGAGCGGAAACCTACCCCGCGAGGAAGGGGTCGGGACCTCTCCGGGCCGCGCCTCGGAAAGGCCACGTCGCCGGACGCCTGGGGAGGTTCGGGCTCGGCGGCCCACCGGTGCAAGGGGGGCTCTCCGAGCTGAGCGTGCCGCGTGTTGCTGCAGGCCGGCGCTCGAGGCGACGCGTCGTCGCATACCTGAGTGGGTAGCGCATCGAGCCGTGCACTAATCCGAACGGCGCGAGTCGTGATCGTGCCGGTGCTCTTCTCGGTTCGCCCGGTCAGCTCTCTTTCATGGAAGAAGCGTCCGCCCAACGTTCCCCCTATGGGTATGGGTGTGTGTGTGTGTTTTCGTTTTCCAATGCATTGGAGAACGAAAAACACACACCCATACCCATAGGGGGAACGTTGGGTGGAGGACTGGCTATGGGTATGGGTGCGGGTTTTCGGATCCTGGGGGTCGCTTCCTTTCGAGCGGGGCCCCCCATCCGACAACACGCACCCATTGCCCCCTCCGTCCCACAGTATGGGTATGGGTGCGTGTTGTTCGTTCGGCATTCAGGGGGGGGCGTCGCTGGCGCGGTGGAGGAGGCGCGCCCCCACTCTGCAGACGGCCGGCGCGGGCCAGGCTGGGGCAGCGGGGGTGCGGTCGGGAGCACCAAGGGCATACGTCTTGAGGGAGATCAGCTATGTAACGGACTCAGACTTAGAAGCCAGGCGAAGGCTGGCAAACCCGTAGCCGCTAAAACGGATCTCCGGGAAATTGTTGTTTCCTTATGGAAAGCAGTCTGTTTTTTATTTAGCGCGCTGAGCTTTATTCTGGGATTTCTTTTCCTTCCGGGAAGACCGTTTTAGCAGGCACGGATTTGCCAGCCCTCGCCCAGCTTCCGACAGACCTCCTTCGAACAAAAAAAATAATAAAGGGACCCAAAGTCGGAGGTCTTCGTAGTTTTTGCTCGCCTCTGGGGGGCCCTCGCTGGGCCCAGGGGCCGTCGACAGACAGCCCAGGATGAAAAGCTTGGCCTGGGACGGGGCCCGAGCTTCCGGGCTGAAAAGGTGATCGTTGTTTGATGCATTGTTTTGCCGATTGGCGCGGGCCCTCTCCCCCCCCCTCTCCCCCGCCCATGGAGTAGATCTTGGCTCTTTTCGGCGCCTGTTTCGAGCAGGTGGAGTCCCCCCTCATAATTGACGCCCTGTTCCAAACAGTCGCACTGAGCAGAGGTCTAAGGCCAGACCCCCCCCTCCCCCCCCCTTCCGCCCAATGTCGAAACGCCGAATAAGAAAACGTTCACAAGCTTGGCCTGGGAAGGGGTCCGAATTTCTGGGGGGGCCCGTGCAGGAACAACAAACAAGACATCGGATCTCTGGGGATGTGCGCTCGCCCCGTCTTCATCTGGCTTGGCCCTTCCTGGGGAAGCTCACGGCTCCCCGAGTCTGGCCTCAAGCGCTCGCATGTCGGATCGTCTTCGCCTTGCCGGCTGCCGGGTGCATTCCGATCCGATCGACCCGATTCGATTTGATCCCGAGGTTCCGACGATCCGATGGGTCCCAGTGCGTGCATGGCGCTGTCGTGCATCCTGGCGCAGCCCGGTCCGATTCGATTTCGATCCCGTGCCCATGCCAACTCGATCCGATGCACACGCCGCTGCGAGCCGACTTGCCGATGGGGTGCTGGCGGAGCCTGCCGCTTCCAGCGGTCGCCGCAGCCCGTGGCCATTTTGGCTTACAGGGGCCGCGCCCCCCCCCCCTCGCCGCCTCCATCCCGAAGGCTCCGCCCCCCCCCCCGTGCCTCCCGCCCCGTGCCTCCTGCCGCATGTGCCGCCCGCCTCCTCCCCCCCTCGCCGCTTCCATCCCCCCCTCCCCCCCCTCCCTCCTCGCCCCCATCCATCCCGAAGGCCCCCGCCCTCCCCCCCCCCCTCCCGCGCCTCCCGCTCCCCGCCTCCTGCCGCAGGGGCCGCGCCGCCCTGCCGCAGCCAGCGGCCGGGAGAGGCAGCAGCGGTCAGGGCGGAGGGGCGTGCGCGCAGGTCTGTGTGCCCCCGGGAGGCTCCGGTCCCCGGGGGGACGGCCCGATCTCCGAGGATGAGCGGCGGTGAGAGATCGAGGGGGCGTGGAGATCGGCGGCGGGTCCCGTGTCCATGGGACGCCGCGGGCTTCCGCCGCCGAAGGGGGCGGCAACGGCCGCCTTTTGGGGGAGGGTACCTTCCCCGATCTGCGGATGTGGCGGCCGCGCGCCAGATCCATGGAGCGCTAGTCCATGTCTGTGCGCCCCCGAGTGATGCCCGCGGCCAAGCCTCGATGGGCGTCCCGCCGGCTCCTGGGAGGCCCTGGATTTTCCTGGCGCACGGTGTCCCCGCCCGGTGCCATCGCAGAGTATAGAGGACGAGGGTCGAGCACACAGAGGAGGGCCTGCGGTGTTCCTGGCCTGCACGTTGCCGGCAACGTCTTGTCCGCATCCTGGGTGCTCCCCTTCTCGCTCCCTTCCGTCCTTTCAAGCAGTGGCGAAGCGTCCTGGCTTTCCTATAGGCCCACCAAAGGATGTTCTAATGGCCTTTTGTGGTTCGCACGAAATGTTCTTAGAGCATTTCTGGCTGGGATTGTTTTGTTTTAACACATCGGCGTGGAGATCTAAGAACCTTGTTTATGTTCTTAGAGTGTTTTCGGGTTCTAAGAACATGTCGTGGTAGGCCTATAGGAATGCTGGGTCGGTCGGTCCCTGCTCAACTCTTGGGGGCGAGGGGGTAAGGGGGGGTGGGGGGGCATGCGTTTGGGTGGAGGGGGAATGGGCAAAGGGGGAAGGAGGAGGAGGATGAGGGCGAGGAGGGACGGGTTGCCCTCCCTGCTCCTCCTCCTCCTCCTCCTCCTCCTTCTCCTCCTCCTCCTCCTTCTCCTCCTCCTCCCCTCCTCCTCCTCCTCCTCCTCCTCTCTCCTCCTCCTCCTCCTCCTCCTCCCCTCCCCTCCCTCTCCTCCTCGTCCTCCTGTTCCTCCTCCTCCTCCTATTTCTCCTGTCCTTTCTCTTTGTTGTTGGCCTGGTGGGCCCTGGATCGCCCAGAGTGCCGCAGCAGCCGCACAAGAGTGGGAAGGTGCAGGGAGGTTCCTGCCACCACTCTTTGATTTCTGATGCTACGCCCTACGCATGGGCTCGTGCACTCTGCGGCACGACTTCCGTCATGCTCGTTTCTGCCTCACGCTGCGGCGCAGCTGGGACAGAAACAAGTATGGTGGTCTCCGTTTTGGCGTCGTTCAAATCGAAAGGGTTTCGTTGTGCTGTTCTTTGTTCGGGGGCTGGGCCCAAACCTCATCTACTTCAGCTGGGCTCCCTCTCCACTGCTCCACCTAGGTGCTTCTTCCGAGCAGCCTGCAGTGATTTTTGGTAGGGGTCAACGTTCTCCTCCTTCTCCTCCTCCTCCTCTTCCCCCCCCTGGCCCCGACATCCCCCCGACATCCACATTTAAGCTTCGCTTTTCGAGTGTAGCTAAGTCAGACAACTGAGACAACCGGCCCCGATTGCTTTCGTATCGCATCGTATTCCCCCGCGGTCCCTCCCTCTTGCTCACCCTTCCTTGTCCCTCTCTCTTCTTCGGTCGTCTTCCTTCTCCATCTCTCGTCTATGGCAGCCGCCAGTAAGCACGTCTTGTCCTGTGGCTCTCCGAGATGGCCAGCGCGCTTCAGCGGCTCATCCTTGCTGCGCCAGCTGCTCGTGGTGTTCTTTGCACCCAACTTCGGCGGCCTCTTCGACCACCCGAGGGCGCAGCGGCGGCGGCCGTGGCGGCGGCGACAGCGACGACGGCGACGGCGGCGATGCGACTGCAGCGAGGGCGAGAGCGACGGCGAAGGCAGCGACGAAGACGACGTCGCCGACGTCTGTGCCGCCCTCGTGGCCGCCGTGATCGTCGTGGCCTTTGCCGTCGTCCTCTTCCTCCTCCTCCTCCTCCTCCTCCTCCTCCTCCTCCTCCTCCTCCTCCTCCTCCTCTTCCTGAGTCCCCTCCCACGCGCCGCAGGGTTTGCCGAGATGGGGCCGGAAGAGGAGCGGCTGCCTGCTCCC